CTTTTGAAAATGTTTCTCTTGAAACACAAAACCTTTGAGATTGTTTCCCTTGAAACAAATTTCGTCTCCCTTGATACAGTTTCTCTTGAAACACAAAATCTTTGAGTTTATTTCCCTTAAAACAAAATTTTGTCTCCCTTGAGGCTGTTTCTCATGAAACAACATATATCTTTAAGATCGTTTCCCTTGAAACGAATTCTGTCTTTTTTAAGACAATTTCTCTTGAAGCATCATTTAAACCGTTACACTCAGCTCAGGCACATACTTGGGATGGTCGAGAAGCATTTCTCAAATCAAAAAATAGAATGTGCACATCAGATTTGAACATTTGAAGAATTCGAGATCAGGATCATAACTTGAAGATTCCAGAACTAAGATTCCAGAGAAGCAACCGGAGATTGAGATTTCTCTCCTGAGCCCAAAAAATAACATATGTTGCATATGCATTTTAGGTATACCTAAGAGCATTGCATCCATCTCATCACATATATACATAACTTTTTCAGGTTTTAGCTAGAGCCAATTTCAACTTCACAACGAAGGATATTGGACTCAAGACAACACAAGTTCAACTTCACAACGAAGGGACAGCTGGTTGTCAACAAACAATTTCCCAATTTCGGAGCCAATTTCAACTTCACATTGAAGGGCATTGGACTCGAGACAGCACAAGTTCAACTTCACAACGAAGGGACGGCTGACTGTCAACAAAACAATTTCCGAGTTCTAGAACCAACTTCAACTTCACGACAGAAGATATTGGACTCGGAACAGCAGGACCTGCATCGGATTTCAACTTCACGACGAAGGGGCCCTATACGATTTCAAATTCACGAACAGATGGACACAACTTCATCTGTAACACCACAACACCAAAGTCTTCAAGACGAGTTTCAGCTTCACAACGAAGTATCTTTGGCTAGAAGACAATCCATGAGCTACTTCCAGTACTCTGAGTTCGATTTCAACTTCATGACGAAGGATTTCAGGCTCAGAATTTTCCAGTTTTGACTCAATCGCACGACAAGGGGGTCATTTCATATTGACAAATCATTTCAAGATGGATTCGACTTCGCGACGGAGGAGCCATCCGCAACTCAATTCGACATGGAGTTATTCTTCGACTCCACTGAACGAAAATTTGTGTCTTTTTATCTTTGTCATATTTTTCGTTCCACGAAAAAGGACAAAGAGGGGCAGCTGTAGACACCTATTTTCTTAAAAGATATAACTAGCAAGAGTTTCTCTCCTAAGGGGACTCTTCCACCACCATATCTTTTAAATCAACAACTACACCAACAAACGTGCAACAACCGGGCAAGGAGTCTAGTTACATTAGGATTCTATTGTTGATAGGATTCTAAGAATAGTTAGTTTTTTTTCACTATAAATACATGTAATCCTCCCCATTTGTAAGACACGGATTGTGATACAAAATACAAGCAAAAATTACGAGCAATCTTAGAGTGAAATTAGAGTTTTTTTTTCCTGCAAATTTTCGAAGAGAAATACAAGGTAAATAGTATCTTTTTCGAGTTTGCTTGCATGCTTGTCTTGTTACATTTTGTATTCGAAAAACACCAAAGAAAACGATTTTTTTTTTTTTTTTGCCGATGAACAGGGGCATTTTTCGGGATCTATTTTTATAGATCTAGCCCCGGCTTCTTTTCTTGAGAAAATACTTTGATTTTCGGAATGGGTGTGAAAAAGGGGTAATCTCACTCTTGGTCCCCTCTGTTTTTTAAAGTATTTAATTGCCCCCCAAAATCAATGTTTTCTCTTCAAAATTGGACCTTCACGTTTCGATTCTTTCGATTTTAGTCACTTTTGAAATCCAACTTTTTTCCCTCATTTTATTTATATATTTTTAGTTATATTTATTTACTTTCACGTTATTATATACACATTTTTTTATGTTTACTATTATTTTATTATTATTATTTTCTCATGTATATATATTCTTTTTTATTTATTTTGTCTTCCTAGTGTTTATTTACACATGTATATATTTTTTCTTTTCTTACCTTTATTTATTTTATTAATATTATTTAGTATATATATATATATATATTTAAGTATACTTTTCATTTACAATATTTCTCTATTTGTTTCGAATTATTTATATTATATTATATTTTTTCTTATATATATATATATTATGTCATTATTTATATGTATAAGCAGAGATGTATTATTATTATTTAGTTACTACGTATATTTTTTGTTATTATATTTTGTTCTATATGTTTCTATATATATTTCTTATTTTTCTATTATTATTTTTATTTAATACTATGTACATCTTCATTTTTGTTGTGTTTTATCTTTTTTTTATCTAACGTGTTTCTTGACTTTTCAAAGGTGTTTTTTAAAACAATCAGAGGTAAGTAATCAAGGCCAAATTTTACCTTTTAATTTAAACTTACAATTTTCTTAATTTAAAACAACTGGAAATTACATAGTACCGAAAGGCCAGTTCAAGGGTGCTAACCCTTCCTTGACTGTAACCGACTCCCGAATCCGACATGTCTCTGGTAAAACGCAGATCAGGTAAGAAATAAGGTATTTGGTCTACCTATTTGTTTTAAAATAAAAGATCGGTGGCGACTCCAATCCATTTAATCTAAGTCGAAGCCCAATTCCGGGGCCCAACCGAAAGACGGTTGCGACACCCACTTACCTAATAAAGCTCTATTCACCAACTGTAGATTAAGGATCCCCATCCCTCCACAACTCTTAGGCGAACACAAAGAAGACCACTTCACCAATGCATCTTTTTCCTCTCACCTGACCCTCCCCACAAAAATCTTGCCATAATAGAATTTAAAAATTTCAATACCGATGCAGGAATTCTAAATATGGACAAAAAATAAATAGGAAGAGAACTCAGCACCGACTTAACAAGCACTGTTCTACCAGCCAACGAAAGTGACGCAGCTTTCCATCCAGTCAGTTTTGATTGAAATCTCCTCAGCACTGGTTCCCACAAAGTTGCCGAATTCCTCCTAGCTCCAAGAGGAATTCCCAGATAATTAGATAGGAAAGAACCAACCGAACAGCCAATAGAATCAGCCCATTCTTTTAACACCCCCTCCTCCACATTAATCCCATAAATCTTACTTTTAACCAAATTTATCTCGAGACCCGATAATAATTCATAAATCACCAAAACCCTCCTAACATTCTTCAATTGATTAACCGAAGCCCCACAAAAAATCAAAAGATCATCAACAAATTGTAAATGGGAAAGATTAAAAGCATGTCCTTGTTTCCCTATGGTAAAACCAGCAAACAAACCCAAATTAACAGCTTTTGATAACAGCCGGCTAAGAAGCTCTCCCACCAGGTTAAACAACAAGGATGATAAGGAACACCCTTGACAAAGACCTTTAGATATCTTGAATTCTTCCGTTGGAGAACCGTTAACCAAAACCGAAACCGAAGCAGTTCAAATACACATTTGAATCCAAGAAACCCATTTTTCACCAAACCCCATTAGCTCCATGACCTTTACAAGCAAAGACCAATCAACCAAATCATACACTTTCCTAAAATCAACTTTGAAAGCAAAACGGGCTAACCCTTTTCTCCTCCAATAATCAATCCCCTCATTAGCCATAAAGGAACAATCTAAAATTTGTCTTCCCGGGATAAAGGCGAACTGTGAAGACCCAATTAAAAACTCCACGCACCCTCTAAGTCTTCTAGCTAACATCTTCGAAATGATTTTATAAAAAACCCCAACTAAACTAATGGGACGAAAATCATCAATGCAATCAGGACCCACTCTCTTAGAAGTCAACGTAATAAAAGAGTGGTTGATACCTCTGTCCCATTGTTTTCCAGCAAAGAAATAAGACTTGTTTGCAGATCTTAAGTAAATAAGACTTGTGGGAAAGTTGAATTATCTTATTGTAACACGTCCTAGATATTACTTATTTGATGAGTATGTTGAGTCAATATATGTCATCTCTAATCTTGGAGAGGGAGATCATTATTAGACATATCCCGAGGAGCTGCAATTGTGAGGCTGATACTTTAGCTAAACAGGGGATTGGATGATGAATGAAGGTTGCCTTAGAGGTTTTTCAGTAGGGTTGGTGGTCTATTGAGGTTGTTGGGGCTGAGTCAGTTTTGGTGTTGTTTAAGGGAGGTCTGGTTACATTGGGGTTTTGCTTTCTACGTTTTGTAATTTTTTAGGTTTTGTTAGTTTGTCTTATGGCTGTATTTTATGTACTTTGTCTTTGATTAATAAAATCCTAAGGCACTCTTTTCCACCTTCCGCTGATTAAGGAGCTTTTCTAAAAGATCCATTAATCAAGAAGGGGGTTTTTAATGAGGCCTGAAATTCTTATCAAAAAAAAAGGAAGATAGGAAATCTACTTTAGAATATTGTGTTTTGTTGGGGGAAATTTAGTTTTGTAAAAGAGTAAGAAATAGAATGTAGTCTCACGACCAAGCACGAAAGCTGAATATAGAGCTATGGCCCAGTCTGTACGTGAAGTCATATGGGATTTAAGTCTCAATACTTAAAAAGCTATGGTGTTATAATCAAGTTGCAGTTCACATCACTTCTAATTCAGTCTTTCATGAACGAATGAAGCATATTAAAGTTGATTGTCATTTCATTAGTGAAAATATCGAGCATGATTTGATTACTGCAAGTTATGTGAAAACTGGAAAACAATTGGATGATATATTCACGAAGGCTCTTAACAGGGTTCAAATTGATTATCTATGTAAAAAGTTGGGTATGATTAATATCTATGCTCTAGCTTGAGGGGGAGTGTTACTAATTTATAGGCTAAATCTTAGGTATTAAAGTACTAATTAAAATAGAATTTTGTGCTAACTAGTATAGGGACTCTACACTTGTATATATACCTATACAATTGATGTCAATACTAAAAGAGAAAAAAAAATGATTCTCTCATTATTTGAAGCTTACAAGAAAAAAGATTCTCATGTAAAAATCTCTAAAGATAAATAAAATTACTAACCATAACTCCATTAAGGTCATATTTAGAACAGCCTTCAAGAGATAGAACACTATCTGCTGCATGGCAAGCCAGTTTATTGTCAGAGCCGGTCATGTATTGGAAAACCTCCCAACATGTCTTCAAACCGTTTAAAAGATTTCTGGCAATCAAACAGCTGGATGACAAAGAGTAAAGTATAAGTAGACACAATCAATTTACAGGAAGGAAACCCAGAAGCTCTTACTGCAAACAAAATGCAAAAAGATGATGTTAATTGCAAAGAGAGAGGGTGATCCACAAACTAAATAAAGTAACTTAGTGTGTGAATCTGGATTATTGTCTGAATTTTGAGAAAATGGGGGATGAAAATGAACATCATAACCGCAACTTTTAAAAAACACTTGTAGCAAGATGCAGAAATTAGTAAGATGGAAATCCGCAGGAACAAAATTGATGGTAGTGGATTCTTTAGCGGATAATTAATAATAAGCAGGCAGCAGATTTCGTAGAATTTATTCACTTAAATGCAATGCAGATTCTATCTAGTCAGTGTCAAAAGCAGTTCATTAAAATGCAAAGTAGTAAAGTCATTAAACTAACCTGTTCCTGCCAAAAATCTCCACACCTTTCTCAAAAAGACCTTTTTCAATAGCTTTCCATGATTTTACATCACTTAGTTCTTGTTTACTTAAATTTTCATCCACAAACTCTTCTTTTCTTGGGCAATCATTGCTACTAGTGAAAGCAAGATCATTAATAGTCTCACTAGAGGGAACTCCTTGCACTCCTTTTAACCGCCAGTCTTTCTTCCTAGACCTTACTATGTTTGAAGATTTTACATCCTTATGAGAAGAAGACGCTGCATCTTCATTTTGCTTTAATGGACTAGACCTGTGTTTCATATCTGTAGCTGAAACACATCCACTCACAAGTGAATCAGATTCAGAAGCTGCCATCTTCTTCTGCCTCTTGCGCATGCAAATTAAAACACGTTCAGCAACTCGCTTGCTATTTCTCTTAAGAATGCCAGATTTTCCGGCAATTTTATTTTTAGAAGGTGATAACTGAGGGATAAGGGAGGATTCTTCATGCCCAGGTCTAATCTCAGAGTCGCTACTTTCTGAAAGATTTCTAGCATTGGATGAAGCACTTTCACTTTGGCTCGACTTTGCCTTCCTCCTAGCAGATTTCTTACTAGATGATATTTTTGCTGCAACACCATCAGATGAAGAATTTGACTTGTCTTCGGGATTCATTGGAGACCTAACTGTGCCATTTCTTTCTGACTTAAGCACCTAGCATTAAAAAAATCAATCATATATAAGTATAAGGAATTCAATAGAGAAAGTGATAAGAGGTCAGCAAAATATATACCAAACGATAGCAATGCGGGCCACAAGGTGCATTCTCTTCATCTGGATGGTTCCAAGGATTTTGTCTATCAGCCTGAAAATTATAATGTCCAGAGAACATAAGAATCTAGGAGTGTAGCAACATATTCTGACAATTATATAAATTTAGAATAGCATGAACAATTCACAGGAAAGATTAGGTCCTGAGAACATCCATGTAATCTGCAATCAAAGACCTGCCAAATACAAGAAAAAGTGGATAAAATTAAAGACTACAAAACAGCACAGAATATGATCAAGAACAAGAAAAATGCTTACAAGGCACCGTCTACAAAATAAATTGTCAAAAGAATCAAGTGCTGCTTCAAGATCCTTATCAAGAAAGGAATTCCAATTTTGTGTTTCAGTATCCCTATTCTTAGAGGGTCCAACATCCTTCTCCGCCTTCATAAGAGTTTCGTATCTTGCCTGTATAAAATGTTTGATGGTGTTTCATATCTGTAAAGCCAGCAGAAAGAAAATGGGGAACAGCTGGACCTAAGTTTGCACTATGAATGAGTATAACCCAGTTTTATCAAAAAAGAAAAAGAGAGAAAAACTATCCCATCAAAGATGAATTTCAGCATCCAAAAATGAATGGAAAAAGGTCGCTACTACTTAAAAATAAAAAATCAAAGGCCAACACTACAGTTTCCAACCCACATACCTTGACTTCAGCAGGACTTCTAGACAAACATTGTGCTAGTGATTCCAGCACCCGATCAGACAAACCAACTTCCTTGATAGTCATTCTGGCAATTTTATAGCATGAAGCATTAGCAATAGTAAGATGGAGTTCAGACATCAATCTTTGTAAGATACGTTATAGTATTACTGGTCCATAAGTTGATATGAATAATAATAGAACAAGAAGATACACGAACCTGTAGTGCAATATGAATTAAATTTCATAAAGCACGTTGTGAAACATCATGCAAAGATAGCTTATAGGGTTATGAAGTAAATTAACAACAATTCTGCAACCATTTTAAGGATAACATAATTTGATTCAAAGTAGCATAACTAAGTAAGCATATTTTTTCCAATCAGAAAAATGGGAGTAAGCTTGTTTCCACCAAAAATAGTTAACAAACAATTAAAATGCCAAACATTCAAAAGATAAAAAGAACCCCTAAAGCAGCAGAACATTCACAAATCTAAGTAAACTAAATAGTAGAAAAGTTCATCCCTAATTTTGCTTTCAAAATAATTGATGTCTTATCCATTTTTTTGGGGGGAATACTTATATAATGCATCCCACAATTACCAATCTATTTTAAAATTCTAATTATTGCAGAGAGTGCATGCTAGAACAGATAGTAAAAGCAGCAAAATACAGTTCAAGATAGAAAAATGAAAATAAAGAGAACATAAACATGATGATCACAATAGATAATATGAATATACCAACCGGAGAATGAAGTCTTCAGATTCAACAAAATCTTTTTTTTCTTCATCTTCCTCCATTATTTCCTCCTCACTGTCACTGCAGATAAGTGCTTCACCACCATTTTTGATCATAGTATATTCTCCTTCGACCCACCACTGATTGATCCTCTGTCATTCTTTGATTTCTACAGAAAAAAGAAATGAATTTAGTTTATCCTTTCCCATCGAAATTTAAAAGGGGGGGTATTATATTACTCAATAACATATCCTTCAACTTTTCAAATCAATTTTCTAAATTGGATAAACACAATAGTTATCCTAGAAACATGATTGAAACATCTATTTTCGACTAGCACTCTATATATAAATAAAGAAAGAGCATAAGATGATATAAGAAAATTAGAAAATTTCTAGTTAACCTCACAAACCTGTCTAGAAATATCCATGTCGTATAAGGTGGCGGCTTTTTCACTTCTGTAAGCCTAATAGGACGAACAGCATTCTTAACAGGAATGCTAGACCCCATAAGAACTGCTGTAGAAGGTTCTTGATAGCTATAACCATCTTTATCCCCATTACTTACGTCAATGCCATTTTGCATGCCAATAGCATCTTTTTGCCTCTTTGTCAATAGATCAGAAGCACTATCGGCATCACCAAACCAATTGCTTCTTCGTTCATTTGACAATTTATAAAGATGGCTTGTTATACCACCTATTTTTTTCCCGTTTTCTTCCAACCTTTTCTGGAAATAAAATGAACTGAAATAGATTAGTATGTATAACCTTCATTTAAGCTGCCAAATAATCAGACAACCCAGGAATTCACCTTTACAGAAAGAGATCGATCAGCTGAAATTTGCTTCTTTAATGAATCAATTACTGATAATATCTCCTTAGAACTCACGGTTTTTTCTTCAACTTGTGTCATCTGTGTAAAAGTGAAAAACGCAATCCAAGCTTATTATCATGTATACAAAATTCATGACAGAAATATGTTATATGCACCAACAAAATGTTGAACAAGTAATTTCAAAATTAACAACACAAAAGGAAAACAAGAACAATTTGACCTCAAAATCGAAGACTAAAATAAATCCAGCTTAGTCACATGTTCAGCTTATAAACTTGTCAATTGTACGCTAAATTTTAATGACGTAATAATCCATAAGATAAGCCAAACTTAACAAAATGCTGCCAGCTTCTACAATCAAATAATTCCAAAATCGAGACAAGAATTTTAAAGTTCAAATGAGAATCATAACTAAAATAAAATATTCGTTTGACGAGTGTCAGAGAGAGAAAGCGAATCGAAAAGTGCGAGCGTTACCGAGGAATCCTTAGGAGGTTCCGATCTATCCGCCGAGGAAGAAGGCGAATGTTCCGCTGCCATAGTCGGAAAGAGAATCGGTTAGAGTCCGAAAAGGTAGGTTGGAAGATCCGGATCGGGATCCGATTCGTAAGAAGACAATGCCGGAAAAGGAGGAGCAAAACAAGAAAAACTAGGTCTTTTTGGCGGAGAAGATTTGGCGGGTCGAGCTTCAAACCCTAATTGTAATAAATCTCTTTCCCTCTCCCGTAGTCTCGTGGGGTTCTATTTTTCTATTTTAATTTCCTCTTTTTCTTGAGAGTTTTTAAATAATTTTACTTGGACAAAAGATAAAATAAAATTTTGGTGGGAAAGAAACGTGGCACTCCGGTTTGAATTACGTACTGTAGATCCTAGCAAAAGCTATATCGATCATTCGATTGGAATTTTTCCCCATTTTTCCTAGTTTGCCGGAACTATTTAAAAAAGGATGAAAAATAAGATACTTTTATTTTCAAGTTTTTCTCTGAGCAAACATTTTTACTAATATTTTAAAAGAAACAATTTCGTCAACTCCTTATTATCAAACATTATTAGAAAGATAAATTATTGATGTGACACGTTAAATTAATTGATATAACATTATTTGATTACAAAATTATTATGTTGACTGACTGTTCATTTATTTTAAAACTTTTGATGTGGTTATTTATGAAAAAATATAAAGAAAATTGGAGTTGAACCACATATGCAGTGCATGGATGGGTTATGAGATGGGCCAAAGATCATTGTCTAAATTTTTAATGGCTTTTTTTGTGGTGTTTGTATTCGGATAGCTTCTCTCTAAAGATATAAAATCAGTTGAGGAAGTTCATTTCCTTTAATGTCACGGGTATCGTTATATCTAGGGACTGAGGTAGGATTTTATATTAAAAAAATGAACTTCTAAAATTTGAAAAATGATAAATTTATAAAGTTACATAGGAACAAAAACATGTTTTAAATAAAAATATATTATAATTTTAAATTACATATGATTTTATTAAGAAATCCTGAATCATGCCAAGGTGATCACTCGCGTTGTTTCCAGGCCAAGGAGTTTCATCTTGCATTGTCCATTTTTCTTGAGGTGTTTGATGAGCTTTTGCAACTAAAGCGTTAATTCGAATCTTGAACTTTTCGTAATGTCTCTGCAACCGAATCGAATGAAATTATTAGTTGTAGATGAGAGATAGCCCATAACTTCCAATACCAAGTGGCGTATGAACGTTCGAGAAATGTAGCTAAAGAAAGCTTGTAGCGCTTACTTTGATCGCTCTACGTTCTTTCACAAATGAGGGTTGCACTTTGTGCTTCAAGTAATCAATCTTCTCTGAGAAGTAGAACTCTGATGCCCTTGGTTCAATAGAGAACTTTTGGCAAAACGGAACCCGGTTTATTGCAAACTGACCTGTTTGTTCAAATGTCAGCACCATCATCTGATACGTAGCGTTGGCAGTGATTAAGGTTTTCGGAACTGGAAACAACAGTCGAATGCCGATCAAAAATATTACATATCAGTGTTGGCAATGATATTCGGCTCATCCGATAACCCATCATGCACTCCCATGGCTGGTAAGAGTCAAGTGTATGAATTCTTTTGAGTAATTTGATGAATCGGGTTATTCCTATGTGATTTTCCATTAATAATAATGTCAAACACCGATAAAAAAAATCAAACGACCAGTTAATGTGATTGTCTCACATATTTACCGGGCCACTTGATAGATTTATATAAATTTCTTTCAGAAAGCAATGATGAAGATGACAAGTCCCCTCGCATTTATAGCCCATGTCTGCTGATTGATTTTGGTTGGACAAAAATAATAAAATGGTGTGACCATTCATATTTCCAATATTTTTTAGATCATTTTCCCTACTTTGTTTGCGTATGATCTTCTGTCGGTTCACTATTTTCTTCATTTTCTTGCATTTCTGTCGGTCCTCGCCGGCTTTTCTTCATCGGGCGTGAAGATTCAACGGATTTTTCGTCTGAGATATGGGACTCCGATTGACAGAATTTGACAAACACCCAGTGAGCCCGAGGGAACCCCGGTTCGGTTCCGCCCGAAGTGGCGCTCCCCATTTCCGGGTCTGCTTCTTCGAGAGGTAACAACTGCCGGGTTACCGGCGCTTTCCATGGACTCTTCTTCACGATAAAACCAAAAATCATGTTTTGTTTCTTGTTCAAAGTAGTTTTAACTCTCTCCCCCTTTTCTTCTTCGGATCCATCCTCGATCACTACACCTGATGAACTCGAATTCGACATGGATCCGACTCGTTTGTCATCTCCGTCGTTGGATTCAGTCAACCAAAACAATACATAATTCAAGAACAAAAAACAATCATGATCACCATCTTCTCTCAATAGCCAAAGAAGAAGAAGAAAGAATAACAATTGATGAGAGAGAGAGAGAGCTAAAAAGCTCTTTCTTTCTCTCTCTGTACAAGAAGCTAAAAAGCTCTTTCTTTCTCTCTCTGTACAAAAAGCTGAAAGTAAATGAATCAAGCGGCTGGGTTTAAGAGTTAGCTAAAGCTATGAAGGGGAGAGGTGGGTGGATTGAATTAAGGGATCTTGTTTCTGCTTGTGCAGGTCTTTATATCAATAGTGGCTTATGGATCATTTGCCGTCAATAATGACTCGTTTTTCAACTTCAGTGTTTAAAGTTCTTTTCTGTGGATTATTAGAGTATCTAACGTTTATAGAAATTATTCATTTTAAACTTATCAATTGAATATTTGGTTAAATTTTAAATTTATCAAATAGTATCAATTATTAAATAAAATGACTCTTTTAGAAATTTTATGTTCAAACAATTATGTGTTTGAACAGTATACATATATTATCAATAGTTATGAAAAAAATTATATTATAATCTTTCTAAATTACTAAAAAGACATTATTTATTTTATTTAAAAAAATAAAGATAATTTAAAATAAATTAATTATAAGACATCACGTCAGATTTTATTTATCTTTAGAATAAATTATATCATTCATAATTCAACTATATTAAGGGATGGTATAAGACGGACTCATCGGGTTTTTGGCCGCCCGAACTCTATCCAAAAGTATATTACCTAACACGACCTATCATGCCCTGATAAATTTTAACATTTTTTATGCCCTGACTCCTACTCGACCCAATCCGACTTGAATATATTAATATTTTAAAATAATATATTTTATAATTATTTATTATATTTTAAATTATTAAAATAAAATATTTTATAATAATTTTTATTTTTAATAATTAAATAATATAATTAAATAATATAAAAATAAAATTTTAAATTTTAAATATTATATATATAAAGATAAATTAATAATATATATTGGGTAGAGTGGGGTCGAATTTTTTTCACCTTAGACCAGTGCCGTCCGTCCCGAAATTATATACCTCATAACCTACTCCACCCCAAACCCAAAATTTCAAAACAAAACAAAAATTGCCCTTATAGAATCGGATAAAATCAGAATCCGTCGGGATTAGACATCTTGACTATTCCTAACTATTATAGTTACTAAACTCTAAAAAATTTAATTTAATTATTGAACTTTCAAATATATATTGAAATTTAGTTACTCATGCAAAAAATCAGACAACAAGTTATTTTTCAGAAAATACAAAAAGAATTTTATTGACCAACAAAATGTTTTATATTAACAAACTTGTTTTCTGTGAAACAAACACCAAAAAAACGGAAAAAAAAAATACATTTTTCAAAAAATCAGATCGTAAATCATTTTCTAAAAAAATATACAATTTTTTTATCAAAGTTAATTTTTACATAAGATAGAATGGAATTATTTATCAATATATATATATATATATATATATATATATTTTAAAAATCTATATATTAATAATATATAACAAAATAAAAACAATTCATTACTAGCAACTTTTTGAAATAATCTTGTGTGATAATAAAGTAGTATCTGATTAAAATATTTATTAACCATTAATGACGTATACATACTCGTAGATGTAATTACTTTAATCAAAGATCTCTAGAAGGTCATTTGGTTCACGAAATAGAAGATTATCATTAGAAATGAAATTATCATAATGTTACGTTACTTAACACGTTATTAAGAATATTGTATTATCTTGTTTGATTTGTTTGACATAAACATAAGATCACTATATTTGGTTGAAAGAATATAAGATAAAAAAATGTATATTTTATTAAATTGTCCTTGAGATGTATTTTCTTTGTTAACAAGTTAAATTCTCAATATTAATGTTCAAATATTTGCATGAGAGTTTATAAAAATATTATTTTTTATTATTTATAAATTTTATATATTTTAACAAAAGTAATTTAATATTTATTTCTTTATTTCTTTTAAAATACATAAACATATTTACGTCAATATAATTATATTTTTGTTTTTAGGTATCAAAATATTTGGAGACGTACATACTTACACCGATATAAGTATGTGTTAAGTGCTATATTTTTTTCCACTTACATCGGTGTAAATATAAATTTAGTGCTACATTATTTTTTATTTTATTTATACTACATGTGTAAGTTGCATAACGAAATATCATATTAAATTATTTGATAAAATTAATAAAGAAAATAAAAAGTATAATATAAATTTCTTTTATTATATGCATCATATCAGCAAACTTTTGAAGTCATTATCAAACTTTTATATATGTAATTGCAATTATATATGATATTCTCAAATTATAATTATATTTTAAATTATTTTTTTAATTTTAAAATATTTTATATCAGTTTCTAAACTATAATTGTATTCTAAATTAATTTTAATTTTTTAAAATATTTTACATCAATACTTAAATTATAGTATCATTTTATTTCAATCTTTCTGCCAATGTGCCGTTAATTCTACTGATTTTTTAACATATTGGGAATAGGGGTGTAAACGAGCCGAGTCGAGCTCGAGTATTGCTGAGCTCGACTCGACTCGAAAACTTTGAAATGAAGATCGACTCGACTCGAAAACTCGCGAGCTTAAAATTTTCAAGCTCGACTCGAACTCGAAATCATAAATTGAAGCTCGTGAGCAGCTCGAAAAGGCTCGAAATGAAAAAAAAAATTATTAAACTTAACTCGATTGAAGCCTCAAACTCAAACTCGAACATGAACCTTAAATACAAGAAATCTTACTGTATTTTTTTATAAAAAATCAATACATAAATATTAATATTATTAATAATTTATTTCTAAAAAATTAAAATCTTAATATATTATATTTTCGAGCTGCTCACGAGCTTTTC